TGGGCCATTTTGCCGGGCTTTGAAGTCCCAAATATAGACTGAAAAACCCAAAACAGGAAAAACGAGACTCTGAGGGGTAAATGAACAACATAGAAATAAGAAATGATTGAAATATAAATAACAATGACAGATAGGAAGAAAGCAGTGTAACATAGAAGAAAACGCTCAAAGTTTCAACCGACCAAAAATGGCTCTCCGGTTAGCCATCTTCTTGTTAATTCATCAATCTTCTTCTTCTGATAATTTCAAAGTTCAATTCCATTTCTAATTTCTTAATCGCTAAAGTATCTTTCCCTAATTTTTTGATTTTTTTTTCATTTGCAGAGAAACCCTAAATCCCTAATTATTAGATCGGTGATTAAAAACCTGATCGGTCGATTTCGGGTTATTGACGGGTTTAGTAAGTTTAGATTGTGGAAGTTGGAATATTCAGGCAGCGTGTGACTTCGGAAATTCAGAAAAATGAGTGCACCGAAGAAAAAAAATTTCCAGATAGAGGCATTTAAGCATCGGGTTGTTGTGGATCCGAAGTATGCTGAAAAAACTTGGAAGATCCTTGAACATGCGATTCATGAGATTTACAATCATAACGCTAGTGGTTTAAGTTTTGAAGAGCTCTACAGGTTTGCTTCTTCCTTTCTTTGTTTTTTTTTGTTTAAGATTTTCCTTTGGTGATGTTGCTACTTGTTATAATTTGTTTTATTAGCGCAGAAGTAATTGTTTGTATTCTGATGTTTGAGGGAGAATTAATAGCTGTTAAATTACTCAACACATAGGCACCCAAGGATGCGGTATAGTGGTCAATGTAGTAAGTCGAGAATCATGAGTTCTCAGGTTCCGAAACCCAGCAGAAGTGAAAACACTAGTAGATATATTTTCATCTGTCTTAGTTTCGGGGACATAGTAACTTGGTACCTGTTACTGGGCGAGGTTAATTTTGGTCTGATGACTGTATTAGAGACTTGGAACTATTAGGATAAATACTAGAATATGGATTATAACAAGTTAATTGGTAGTAGTCCATTTAGTCTATTTGTAGGTTGGTATATTAGAGAACCCTAAATAATTGTTATTTTGGATGTGCTTTTTTATTTAATACCTCTTTGTTCCACCCGATCAGGCTCCTTTCCATGCTGACGGTTGCAAGAGGAGGATTTGTGGTTACAATTTTGACCATAATTTATTAAAATGTGAGTCACGGTTAGGTTGACATTGATGCAACATAAAAAGCTGATACCTCAGGCTGGTTTGGCAAATGTAGATGTTCTTATTTTATCAGGAGGAAAAAAGTTACCTCATTCCACCTAAGTAAGTTTAATCGTTGTAGTTAATTTTGCGAGAATATTTTCATTTGAGGGGAAGGAAATGCAGTATGATATAGAGATACTATTATGTCGGTTAGGGGGATACATATGCAGTCCTTGTAGATTCACACAAAAAATACCGCACAGGACGTTTATTGTTGAAGATTGAGCTTTAGAGGTTTTTCTTTTAATAAGTGGACTAGATAACTTTGTAAAAGGTCTTTCTCTTCGTATTAGACTTCTGAATAGCAACGTGATAATTTATATGGAAGTATGCTCCTCTTTTAAGTACACACTGCTATCTGTGTCTATGTCATTTACGTGCAAGTATTAAGTTATTCCTTGCCCTTTTAAGTCCAAACTGTTCCTGTTTATTCGGTTAAGGTATATTATAGGTGGTATAGCACTTGTCGTCAAAAGACTTGTTAGCTTTTTTGCCAAATGTTTTCGTGCATAAACCACACAACTTCCCAGTTGACATGAACAGATAGTTTCAATATATCACTTCACATACCATTTATTGGGGAATGGGAGTTTAGATGTTTATACAATTACTTGCTTTAATCTTTTTCTTCTGTAATTGAGCTTAGTGACAAGTTCTATTTCTTGTATTTTAAGGAGGCAATCTACCACCTTTATTTTGATAGTTTTTTCTTCTTGAATATCCGTCTTATTACTTTGATGTTCTTATTATCTGAAATATGAGCAGAAATGCATATAACATGGTACTACACAAATTTGGGGAGAAGCTCTATTCAGGACTTGTCTCAACTATGACAGCACATTTGAAGGAAATTGCAAAACATATTGAATCTACACAGGGAGGGTTGTTTCTTGAAGAACTGAATCGGATATGGGCAGAGCATAACAAGGCACTGCAAATGATTCGAGATATATTGATGTATATGGATAGAACTTTCATTCCTAGTACTCACAAAACACCTGTTCATGAGCTTGGTTTGAATTTATGGAGAGACAACATCATCCACTCTAGCAAAATACACAAAAGGCTTCAGGACACACTTCTTGAACTAGTTCAGCGTGAGAGGACTGGTGAAGTGATAAACAGGGGTTTGATGAGGAACGTAATACAAATGCTAATGGATTTAGGGTCTTCAGTATACCAAGAAGACTTTGAAAAACCGTTTCTTGATGTCTCGGCTGATTTCTATCGACTTGAGTCTCAGCAATACATTGAGTGCTGTGATTGTGGGGATTATCTGAAGAAAGCTGAGAAACGTCTCATGGAAGAGATTGAAAGAGTGTCCCACTATTTAGATACAAAAAGTGAACCCAAACTTACTAATGTCGTGGAGAAACAGATGATTGAAAGCCATATGCACAGGCTGGTTCATATGGAGAACTCGGGCTTAGTGAATATGATCGTAAATGACAAGTACGAAGATTTAGGAAGGATGTACAACTTGTTGCGAAGAGTGTCAACTGGGCTTGCACTGATTAGAGATGTCATGACTTCTCATATTAGAGAAATTGGGAAGCAGCTTGTCACTGATCCAGAAAAGTTGAAGGATCCTGTAGACTTTGTGCAGAGGCTTTTGGATGAGAAGGATAAGCATGATAAGATCATTAGTTTAGCATTTAACAATGACAAAACATTCCAGAATGCTCTCAATTCCTCATTTGAGTTCTTCATTAATCTGAATCCACGATCACCAGAGTTCATCTCTTTGTTTGTGGATGACAAACTTCGGAAAGGGCTGAAAGGGGTTACTGAGGAGGATGTAGAGATCATATTAGACAAAGTGATGATGCTCTTCCGCTACCTTCAGGAGAAAGATGTGTTTGAGAAGTACTACAAGCAGCACTTGGCAAAGAGGCTACTCTCAGGGAAGACGGTATCTGATGACGCAGAAAGAAGTTTGATAGTTAAGCTTAAAACAGAATGCGGGTACCAGTTCACCTCAAAACTGGAAGGCATGTTTACTGATATGAAGACCTCACAGGATACAATGCAGGGTTTTCATGCTGCTGTGGGTGCTGATCTTGCAGAGGGTCCTTCACTTACTGTCCAGGTTCTTACTACTGGGTCCTGGCCAACACAATCTGTTAATACTTGCAATCTTCCTTCGGAAATCTTAGGGGTCTGTGATAGGTTCAAGACATACTATCTGGGGACCCATACGGGTAGGAGGTTGTCATGGCAGACAAATATGGGGACTGCTGATCTGAAAGCTACATTTGGGAAGGGACAAAAGCACGAGCTTAATGTTTCCACTTATCAGATGTGCATCCTTATGTTGTTCAACAAATCGGATCGAATGAGTTACAAAGAAATTGAACAGGCTACAGAAATACCAGCTTCAGACTTAAAGAGGTGCTTACAATCTCTCGCTTGTGTCAAGGGGAAGAATGTTTTGAGGAAGGAACCAATGAGCAAGGATATTGCTGAAGATGATGCCTTTTACTTCAACGATAAATTCTCGAGCAAGTTCTACAAGGTGAAGATAGGTACTGTTGTTGCACAAAAGGAGTCAGAACCTGAGAAACAGGAGACTAGGCAGAGAGTGGAGGAGGACCGAAAGCCACAGATAGAGGCAGCAATTGTCAGAATCATGAAATCTCGGAGGGTGCTAGATCACAACAATATAGTTGCTGAAGTAACAAAGCAGCTACAGTCTCGATTCCTGCCAAACCCAGTTGTCATAAAGAAACGAATTGAGTCTTTGATTGAGCGTGAATTCTTGGAGAGGGATAAAACAGATAGGAAGTTGTATCGTTATTTGGCTTGAAGATGCCACAGGCACTGAACCTGTGATTTTTTGGGGATTTGTTGGGCCTTAACTTGTCACAATGTAAGTTTGAATGTTTATCAAGTCACTTGGTGCCCAGGCGGGCTTTAATGACAGTTGTTTGTTGGTACAACACATCCATTTTATTTTACTTTTTCCGTTCTACTTGTTTGCAATTATCGACATCTGAACTAGATAAGCTTACAAGTCTCAGAGAGAACACTGGGTAACTTGAACTGGAATGGGTTTAATATTAATAGTAGATGCCATGTTAAATATTATGCAGCAATTTTTGTAATAATCATGTGCAGCAGATGAATTTTTGAGAACAATTATATGAAAGATGTGGTTGATAAATTTAATACGACGTGAGAAAAGAACTATACGTGTGATAGAACTACTGTTTAGAAAAAAAAAATGATTTGGTGTATTTGGGATAACGCATAATGTTAGTTGTTTGAAAAATTTATTTTCGAGGTGGGTTTCCTTTTTGTGTTTGATTAAATGTTCAGGTAATTAATTTAACTTATATATAAGGTGGAACCTGTGTAATTGTTTGCTGAAGTAAATATCATATTCAAAAGAAACATGACTGGTGCCTATTAAGTTTCATGTATTTAATTAATAGCACCTATTGATAATGTTAAATAACAAAGTAGTAGACTTCACGTGAATAATTCTTCACGAAGAGCTCGGTTCTTTCCCTGAAATCCTTCCTCCAAAGTTTCAAAATGGGGAAGGAAATAAAAAGTTGAGTCCAATTTGCTAAATTTAGTAACAAAACGACACCCTAAAGAGGAATTAAAAGACCCAATTTCCGCAAGCGTTACTATATCTCCAACACGCTATTCATGTTCCATCTATAATCAACAAATGCGGATCTAAAATTTAAATCTATTATTAATTGCAATTTTTACGTATAAATTTATATTTTGCATCAAACACCTTCCGTCCCCGCAATTAGTATAAATACTCTATTCCATCTCCTCAACCTAGAGACAATTTGAAGAAAAAGATGAAAGGAATTTTAGTGAGTTTGTTTATGTTGCTAGTTGTGGTAGTGCAACTAGGAGAATCGATTAATTGTGGTGAAGTTGGTGGAGCACTAGCCCCTTGTGTGCCTTATTTGACACAAGGTGGAGATCCATCAGTTTCATGTTGTGATGGTGTGAAAAAAGTGGTAGAAACAACTCCAACACAACAAGATAGGCAAGTTGCTTGTGAATGTATGAAATCTGCTGCTGCTCGTTATCCTAATGTTAAACCAGATGCTGCATCTAATCTCCCTTCACGCTGTGGTCTTACTACTCCTATCCCAATCTCTCCTACTATTAACTGCAAAAGGTATTTACATTCACACTACTACCACTATTAGCCATTACCCACACAAATCATAGATTCGTCTCTGACTATATATGCTCTCTTTTCTTATTGCGCGCAGCGTTCCTTGAAATCATGGAAAGAAGATTTTGCAAATGCAATATTAACCTAACGAGTGCAAAATATGGTACTCCTATGAATTGTGTGTATGTATGTACTGCTATTTAACAATATTATAAAAGTAAATATGTCTACCTACCTCTTTTCTTATCTCTTTCCTATTAATTCATAGAATATGATCTGTCCAATTACTCCGTCATTCACGCATTTAATAACTCAAGCTATTTTAATCCGCTCAAATTGGACAAACTCATCTATTAAGTGCTAATGAACTTGGATTGTATACAATCAGATTACTTACGAAATATTTATATACAAAGAATTTTCATGCAAACGCCAAAAAGGAAGTTAAATAATCTGTGTGGCGCCTCATGATAATGTTGCGGCTAACTTTTGGATGGATGAATGTGAATAGAGGTTATAATCTTGGTGATGCTGTTCACGTTAACATCAACGTATGTTTTTTTTTCTACAATTATTTGGTGTGTTATATCCTGTTATTTTCACGGATGAAACCATAAACTTAATAAACAATGGATGGGGTCCTCTAGTAACTGTAATTTTATACTATTATGTAACAAAAGAGCAGTCATTAACCAAACCAAAATTTGATATAATTAAGTAAAATGTCTTGTTAATTACTTGAAGATTGATGTTCGATCATATTGTAACCATAAGACAACGAATATTACACAAGGAATAGAATGATACTGTTTTGCAATGAATTTTAATTACAATCACAAATAAAAATGAAAAATATATATTTTATTCATAAATATTTGTGAGTATAATAATTCTTTTCTTTTTTTGAGTCTATCTCTGAGAATTTTCTCTTTTAATTTACCTTTGAGGGTTATTACTTGTTAGTAACGTATTTTTGAAAATTTGATCGCTACGAACGTCGGGTTAATCTTGAGAAAGATTCCCTTTTGATTACTTCAGATTTGAGAACAATTAATTATTTGATGTTTTGATTTTTTTTTTTGGGTCATGAACATCCAATTTATGATATTCGAAATTTGTTTTCGAGAAAATATGTTTTCTTTTTACCGGCGTTAGCTAGCCTCTAAGTAACCCTAAGGACCTTAATTAGAGGTAGAGTTTTATTTTAAATCCATTAAAAATTCGATCTGTTTGCTCTAAAGATTCAGCACATGGTGTCAAAATCACATATATTGGTTCTATTTTTCTCCAACAAAAATGATCCTGTTAGTGCTGGCAGAGTAGGATTGATCTATAATATGAAACTTCTAAATTAAGTAAAATTATTCTATCTAAAAAAATATATTAAACCAAATATCCCTAATTAAATCTTAACCTTACTATATATATTTAAGTAATGTCTCACAACGAGAGCATTAGTTTATTCGTGAAAACTGTCTCTAACTTTAGAAGCATAAAATAATTTCTCCCCCCCCCAATATTCCATCAATATATTTATGCCTGCCATATATTTTTTTAACTTCTGGTGATGTTAATTGATTTGCCAACGATGTATAATAACAAAACCAATCAACTAGTCTTTGTGGGCCATCTCAATCTAGAGTAATGTATAAAATCTTTTAATCAAACAACATTATCACTTTCTAAAATTATATTCGGTGTTAAAAGTAATGCTTTTTCTCATCCTACTTAACTTATACATGATCATCATCAGTATAATCTCTTTTAGTATCTCAAAGTAATTAAGTGTATACAGATTTTATCTCTATCTTAAAAATAGAATTTTTTCGGATAAATATAATATTAATGGACTCGCAAGGCCATATACCTTTTGGTTTAGTTACAAAGTAAAACAGTACCCCTACGTTCCTGGGCAATAATTACAACTATACTACCACTCAATCCTCTAACACATGGTGTATAATAATTGGCACAGAAAAAAAGTGTGGTTAGCTCATGTTACAAGATGAACTTTGACTTGCTCCTTAAATTGGAAATTGAAATTAACTAAACGAAAACCAGAAACGTTAAAAGAGTTGGTATTGAAGAACTTCGATTCCCCCATTAATTATTATAGTATGTGAATTGGTTATATCTTAATTATATTATATGCTCTTCAGCCAGCAGACATGGGATTAGCAATCTTATGCAAGGTTTCCACTAAACATTGTCTATATAAGGCTTATGCATATCGATAAATGATTGCAACTATGGGAAAGCTTCAATTTATTTTCAATACTAACTATAATTTTTTTATTTTTTGTAATGAAGATCGATATGATGTAATTCAATTTTTCAATTTAATTTTGAGTTATGAAATTCTTTTGTAGTTGGATGACTCCTAGCTAAGCTAGTATATGTATGTTTTTTTTCCAATAATAGAAATAATGATGAAAAGATTAGAGAAGCAGTCAACGATATTACTATATAGTAGGTGAGCTGCTCGTTGGTATATAGTTTGCACATGCGCACCACTTAATTAGACACTGGTAATTAAATTCATATGTGGTTAACCTAGCTAGTCTTCAAATATACTCAACCCTTGAACAAATTCCAACCTAAATCAACGCACTTATGACGTAAATATCCAGATTCATCAGTCTTCTCGTTTAAATTAATTTTACGTTTTTTTAAATAATATTTTCTTCCTTCATTTTTACTAGTTCAATTAAAAAATTTAAGACATAATATCTCATATTATACCTACTTTATCCTTTTTATTAAGTTCTCCCTCAGAACCTTTTTACTTATTACAATTAATAATAAGGATAAATTAGGAACTATGTGATAAATTATTATATGTTAATTTTTATATCAGATAAGTAAAAATGAATAGAGAGGGGGAAACGGTCATTTTATTCAAATTAAAGAATGATATAGTAAATTAAACTTATCATTTCATTATTAATTATTTTTTACGAGATACGCCAAGTTAAACTTGAACAAGTAAAAATAGACGAAATATATTTTTATCATCTTTAACCTCTTTTATAGAGCTTCAAAGTAATTACGATACTTTATGGCAAAACCGACTATTGGAGAATCAAAATTTTAATCCTCTGTAACATTATCTCACATTGCAGAGGAATTCTATACATGGTTTAGTAACCAAGTTGTAATAATTAGAATTCGACAGTATAAATGGGTTGGTAAAAGTGTCTAATATACTCCTCAACTTTGTCATTTAGAGCTGATATACCCCTTGTTATGAAAGTGGCTCATATATAGCCCTACTTGTAAAAAAATGGCTCACATATACCCTTTTCCTCTAACGAAAATGAAAAAAATATAATAATTTTAATCTAAATTTTTATTATTTTTTTCTAACAAATATAATCCCAGATGAGTAAATTTAATCCTCGTTAAACATTTTTTTTGACTTTTTTTTTGTTTCAACGACTAATTTATAATTATTATTTTAATAATCAAATTTATTTATGTTTCACTAATATTCTTGTAAAACTTATTGTAGATGACAAAATTTTTTCTTCGAATACGAAATTAAATTACAATACACAAAAAAAAAAATAGTTTAAATTTTTATTATTTAAACTAAGGAATGAAAGAAAAAACAAAATAAGAATAAGAAATTCAAATAATTATAATAAAAGAAGTCAGAAAATAATTTATGTATGAAAAAAATTAAAATATACCTTGAACTTTGACAGAAGAATCATATATACCCCTAAATAATTTTTTTATTAAAATTAGAAGTAATAAATATAAATTTAAAACTAATTTTTTAACTTCCGTTAAATGAAGGGTATATGTGAGCCATTTTGTAATGGCAGGGGTATATGTGAGCCGTTTGTATAACGGTAAGGGCATATATGAGTCACTTTTATAACGAGGGGTATATCAGCTACAAATGACAAAGTTAAGGGGTATATTAGACCCTTTTTCCCAAATGGGTTTATTGAAAAGACAAAGGTTACAAGACAAACACTAAAGATAAACATTTCATGACGAGTACTGCCTTATCCAACTTTTAGACTTTTATCGGTTCCAATTTTAAATACGATAACTAATAAAAATAGAACGTAACCATGATTAACTAATAAATATATATACAACAAGTAAAAATGAACGGATCGAGTAATAGTATATTCAGATTTTTGTTTAATGAATGGCTATCTATCGAAGATTTAAATGGGGAAGGTCACGTGATCTTAGGTGACAGAATAGAAGCTTTTTTATATCAGAGAATAGAAACTGCCATTTTTAGATCCAATGACTTAAAAAGTCATATTTTAATCAGAAGATGTACACAAAACATTGGCAATGCATCTTAAACAAAAAACTATTCAAACTCCCTATATATTATATGTTAGCATGCACTAATTTCATTAGAAGATTGACTTGTCATTTTGTTTAGAACTCAGAAGAATATAAAGGATAGCCAACAATGAGCACATCATGGGATTGGGAGGTGTGAAAACATATCTCCATACACAATAACTTTTGTAGTCTTTTCGAGATCATAAATTTGGTCTATTGCTATCATTTTTAAGGGACAATATTGCCTGTCCATTTGCTCTAAAACTACAATCACAATCTAAACTTTGCCTAGTGAAATTATGGATGACAAAAGTGATGTGGAAAAGCTTGATGAAGTGATGCTGCCTGGTTTTCGTTTTCATCCGACTGATGAAGAGCTGGTTGGATTCTACCTAAAGAGAAAGATTCAGCAGAGATCTCTTCCTATTGAGCTCATCAAGCAAGTTGATATATATAAATATGATCCATGGGACCTTCCAAGTAAGAAACATATAAAGTTCCTCCCGCATCTCATGTCTATACTCTTTAGGTTCATTTTTTATTTCTAGTTTCTTAGTATATAGCTAGTAAATTGTTTCTTCGTTGGCCATGAAATTTGATGAGGTTCAACTATAGTCTAATATTTCCTTATGATACCAATTTTTGTCCAGAGCTAGCATCTACAGGGGAAAAAGAGTGGTACTTTTACTGTCCAAGGGACCGTAAATACAGGAATAGCGCCCGTCCCAATCGTGTAACAGGAGCTGGTTTTTGGAAGGCCACTGGAACTGACAGGCCAATTTATTCATCTGATAGCACCAAATGCATTGGTCTTAAGAAGTCCCTCGTCTTCTATAGAGGCAGGGCTGCCAGAGGCATAAAAACGGATTGGATGATGCACGAGTTTCGTCTTCCTACGACTAACAACGAATCAGGACCACCTAAGAAATTCTTGGAAAAGAATTTTCCACCAAATGTAGGTTCACTATGTAGAATAATGAACCCCCTTATTATCCATTGAAGACTTTGTATTATCTTAGTTTAAATGGATATATTCTCTTTGGTCCTTGCAGGATTCATGGGCCATCTGCAGAATATTCAAGAAAACCAACTCAATGGCAAATAGAGCTCTATCTTACGCATGGGGAAATCCGTTATCTGAAGTAGCATCTCCAGAGTTGTTCAATCAAAGTGCTAATGCTCATTTCGTCTCGGAGAATGTTTCTTCTATAACTGAAACAGGCACAGCTCTCCACCTATCCAATAACAATGACTTACTACAAGGAGCCTCAAATGTTCCTTCATATAAGTCCCTCAATGCTATGGCTTCAAGACCATCTTATCTTTCAAGTCCTAGCACAGACATTTCCTATAACTTCATGTTTTCGTCTCCTGAGGTCTCAGGACAAAACAACAGGTGTTTACTAGACGCAAATTCAATGTTTTTCAACACATCCCCTGCCTTAATCACTGATATCAGCAAGACCTCCGAGTCCATAGACTTTGACGGTTCAAATCAACAATTGAAGATGCAAACAAGTATAAGTATGGAAAACGACGAAGCGGGATTGAAGAGTAATCGAACTTCAATAAATGACAACACTGAATGGGAAAACATGAGATCAGTTGGATTTCCTTTTAGTTTGGCTGAGGAATGGAAACCTAGCTTATCATGGGATTCTCCTCCCTGTCCTAGTGAGATATCCACCAGTTTCTCAACAAACAAATGCTACAACTAGTTTTACATCCAAAAAGAGAACTCCTGGCTCTGTGTACAGCTAGTTTTTTTTTCCTTTTAGGCATCCAGTATCTGAAGTAGTCGACTCAATCAACTTCAGATACCGGATGCCAATGAACAAAAAAAAAAATCAAAAAAAAAAAAGAGTCCAGCCATAGCACTAAAAAAATAGCCATATTCTGTTGGAAGTTATTGTACAGTTTTATTTTTTATTAGCTTGCTCGAATTTAAACGTTATTTGTTTGGATGAAATTTTCATGTTCTTTTCTTAGTATTTATTAAGTACTCCATGTTTTATTGCATGTTTACCCTTTCTGATGTTGGACTTTTCTCGTTCTTTTTCCCCAAAACCTTTTAGTATCAGATTATATGCTGTTTAAAGGCTAACAGGCTAAAACTAGTTGAGATAATGACTGTTTGTGTACTCTCTAAAACCTGCAAACTTGACCCTTATGTAACCCTAAAATGATAGAAACTGAAATTGGATGAATAGCAAGTTAGATCAACTTCAAACTAGAATAAAAAAAGCAAGTTAGATCAACTTCAAACTAGAATAAAAAAATGGGAAAAGAATAACAAATAAAAAAAATGTCAGAAGTGGGATTTGAACCCACGCCCTCTCACGAGGACCAGAACTTGAGTCTGGCGCCTTAGACCACTCGGCCATCCTGACTTGCTCAAAAATAAGCTAGCACATTATATATACTCAAAATAACGATTTTTCCATTTTAACTCACATGAAATTGCATTTTGTTTTGTTTTATGATCCTTTACCATTTGACAATCAACCCATGTATATTTTTAGATTTAGGTTATAGCCTACTTGTCACACTGTTCTTCATTACGAGATTTCTCTCCTTGATTTGGCAAGGGTCTGGTTACATGACAATGTAATTGTTAAAGCCTTTTAACGTTTTAATAGTAGAAAAAAAAGAAAAGGAAAACTTACTGTTGTATCATCTCCAGAAACATAACTCGAACCAGCTAATTGAACGTCCTATGGCATTAGTTTTGAATGAATCAATCTGGACAGGCTCCTTGAGAATATATAACTCATCAAAAGTCATAATTTCAGCGGCTCTGCGGTATTGGTTTTATGCATGTATGGCTCTTTGTGTTAGCTTCAAATTTTACTAATTTCTCTTTTGATACCCTATGTTTTACCTTTTGTAATTTAACTAACTGATTCAAGGGAAACATAAAATCATTTCTAAATTAAATCTTCCGCATCGTCAGATCCTTCGCATTTCAAGGTAATAATAATATTTTAGTGACTATACCACTCCTTTGTATGTCATCCGAAAAAGATAATATTCTGGCTTGAGTATTAATCACAACAGTAAAGTGAACTGGAGTAATCATGCATTAAAGTATCATTTTACCGGAAAGAGGAAACAACCTCATCCAGTCAGTTGGCACTAGTTCCAAAAAGGAGTTTGCAAAACCATACTAGAGCTTAAATTCTGAATGAAATCTAGTACTTGCATTTCATCAAGTTCTTTCACACATATTCATCGTCATCAAAGCTAAGTTATCTTAAAACATAATAGAAGTGACGGACTCCAGGGTCTCTACATTCAGCTCTTTGAAGCTAATTTTTCCTTTGCCTTCTGAATCTTCAACACTTTTTTCACAATTTTTTGTTCTTCAACTAAGAAAGCCCGGATGATTCTACATAGGTAAATCATGGATAGATTAATATACTTGCATCGAGAAACTCTGAGTTATATATACCAAAAGCAAATATGCAATATTGCTGACAAAAAAAACATACCTCTCCCTTACAGCACTTCCAGATAGCACACCTCCATAAGCACGGTTCACAGTCCTGCGGTTTCTTGGCAATCTGGATCTCTTATATTCAGCAGGTCTCAAATGTGGAATCTAAACAAGATAGAGAAACACATCAATGTATGATTGTTGCTTGGAGTCCTTTTTGGACTCTAGGACAGAAAGAGAATAGGGAATAAAATAAGTCAATGTTTGGTGATCTCAAAAAATTCCGACTGTAGTAAAAATAGGACTGTTATAAGCCGACAAACATGAGTTCACCTAATCATGGATGGATACAGATATCTAATGGGTATTTTTGACCCCCTTGCTAATTTCCTCACTTCCCTCACCAAACGTCCAGACTCCATCAACCATAACTTCCCCATGTCTAGATTTTCATGCTTAAATATTGAGACATTTTTGTCTAGCATAGTACATGAGAATTCAAATTTAACATACTCGAGGAGGCTTCATACTATTTTTTCTTGTATATGTAAATAATACACTTAAAAGATTTTAAAATTACAATCTGATACAGAGAGGCTAGGATCAAAAATAATTTATATCCATACACTAAAACTGGAATTAAAGGTACATAGGCCAGCAATAGCACATTCACTATTAATCTGGAAAATGAAACGATGACCACTTCTGTAAACCATTAGCTCCATTCCTTTTGTTTGCGGAATGCGAGGTCATGACTCTCTACCTTATGGCCGCTTCTCTTTGGTACCAGTTGTTGCTTCTATTTTAAAGACGGGCTTGAAGGTGTGAAGAGGCTGGGGTAAGAAATGTTTGTCTCTACATACACTAAATAAGGCTCTTGCATTCTCAGTAATTGGTCACTATGTCCCTTTAGCAGAACCAAGGTTTGATTCTTAGCTTGTTCTGGATAAATACCTTCAAACAACTATAAAGTGCTACTTACTTTAGTCCAGCTTCACTCTACCGGTTAGCCAAGTTTGAAAGGGGAAAGAGAAAACAATTAATAGCACAGTCTTTAGGATTGTTAGCCAGCCCACTCAATTACTTCAGAACAATTCCAGTTAAAACAAAAGTAAATTTACTTGTTTTAGTATCACAATACACGGGAATAATAATCTTTCAAGTCGGAATCCTTCATTTTAAAATCGAGTCACAAATAAAAGAGGACTAACACATAAGCCAGGGATCGCATACGGAAAAGAACTAAATCATAGAAAGATTAAACAATAAATTAAAAAAGAAAAGTACCCCTTGGATTCTCTTTCCAGTAACTGGACATTTAGGGCCGCTGGCTCTCTTCTTGGTGGTCTGGTAAATTAGCTTTCCACCTAATTAACAAAAGATGAACATAACGGTACATCAGTAATCACATAACAAAGTTATAACAAAGAAATTTCAGCGGCGGATGTACATATACAGTACTCATCAAAATTAACTTCAGCTCGAACTACGTAATAGGCGTAACACTTTTACAAGGTACTTCTATATGATTAGGATCATTATGCACACTAAGTTAAATTCAGGATCTGTCTTAGTACAAACAATAAGAACAATGTTGAGACAAATCCAAATCAATGAAAAGAGGGGGGTAATTAGGTTACAGTATGGAGCAATTTACCCGGAGTTTTGACAATCCTGTGTTGATTGGATTTGGTGGCATAACTGTGCCGCTTTCGATATGTAAGTCTCTGAACCATCTTCTACGATAAGTTTCGCCGTTTCTCTGTAGTGGAGACAAGAATGGACGAAAAGAGTAAAGCCTTGGCAAGGAGATGCATATATATAGTGGGGTATGTACTGTTGCAAACCCTAATTTAGGATGCCTCGCTCTTTATTCCAAAAGTGTCCATCCGATTTTGAGAATATTACGAAAGCACCTCTCGTTTGGGTAAATGAGATTGATCAACTTGATTCATTTTTCTTTTTAAACTTGAAAAAATACTACTCCTTACTTACTTTACTAAATACTTAGAAAAGTTAAATATTTTCACAAGTTATTTATATTTATGCATAAATGTATTAGGAGGCTAGGAGCAACAATAAAAATAAATAATAAATGATTATATCTTATTATATAAAAATATTATTTTATTTATGTGACCCTTGTTTGTTAGGAATATAGATATTTGTTTATCTCTTTTCGAACTTGTATGATATTTATATTGTTAATTTTCACCATGTACTTAGACTTCCTTTGATACTCTATGCTTAAGTGATTTTACTTTAAAGTTGGATTATAATAATTTTTAATACTTAATATATAAGATATTTATTAATTAAATTATGGTTAAAAATTTACTTTGAAAAATTAAATTTTAATTATTTATTTTAATATATGCCATGTATCACTTATCCAAATAGGAACTCCATGTGCCACTTATCCAAATAGGAACTTAGGAAAAAATGGAGATGAAGCGATCCTAAGTAGAAGACTAAAATATTAGTTTCATTTACGTATAATTACAGATTAACTAAAAATCAATTATTTATTTAACATTATCCAAATTTTCGGATTAAGTTTCCATTTTTTTAAAATAAAAATATCATATAATTGAATATAGAAAATTAACACGCAAAAGAAATAATATCCCAAACGTCGCTAAAGTTTAAGTTGAAATTTCTGAAAGTAATTTTTTCGTACATGTGTAAACTTTCAACATTACCCTAATGTTATTGCAGGTTGAATTATCTACGTTTACACTAATTTCAAGCGGATGAAATTGATTGAACGATTTTTGTTAGATAGAATTACGCATGTTTATGATTATATTATTTGTTAATTTTTAAATTGGCACATCAATTAAGAAAAAAAGGATTGACGTACTTGATTTATCATTTTACCCTATTAATTATACAATAGATGAATTAAAAACTTAAGTTTTTCAATAATATTTTTTAAAATAATTCGTTGAGGGTATAATATATTAGACAAAAATGTCTTTTTTTCTCAATTTGTCAATTTGGAGAAATAATTAGGAATAATTTTAAAAAGAAAAATTGGACAAATAACTAGGGACAAATGGAGTATGATTTTTTTTCATCATGATCATATCATTCACGTTTGTTGACTGAATTATTTTTCTAATAAATTTAAGTTTGGAAAAATACGCGTTTAAGCAAATTTATATTATTTAATTACTCATAATAGCTATAATTTGTTATAATTATCACTCACGACTAACATCATACATTAATTACGTGGATTGACTTCGACTTTGTATAATTAACCACATTTTGTATATGTATAATTCACTATAATATGCAAATACATATGTATAATATACAATTATCTAATCGATATACATATACAATTCACCTTTCTCCCACTCTATGCCCTCTCACGCTCACCTCTCTCCTCTCTTTCCCATTCTCGCTTGCCATATATACAATTGTATAATATATAATATACTATTATCTTCCAATATACATATACAATTCACCTCTTTCCCACTCTCTGCCCCCTCTCACTTGCCTCACTCCTAATCTCGCTCCTCTCTCTCAATCTCACTTGTCATATATACAAATATATATGTATAATATAATCTAACCGATATACATATACAATTCATTTTTCTCTCACGTTTTATCCTCTCTCGCCTCTCTGCCCAATCTAGCTTGTTTCTCTCCTCCTTATACAAAAATAGCTATCAAACTATAATTATGAAAAGTAATTAGACTATTTCCCTTTTAAGTTTGAGCTATCGAATATCAAAATTGGCTTGCCGTTTCGCTGTCAAAGAGGGTAAGTTGGTCAATTTAATATAGAAATGACGGGTTGTTTTTTAATAGGATCGGGTCAGGGCATGCTATTAGAAATCTTGAGCAAATTAAGGATTTCTCTGCTTCTTCCAGAATAATACGCAATTGTGATTCAACATGGTGAATGGAGAAATGCAGAGTTCCTACAACGTAAAAGATAAGATTGTTTTGGAATTGATGGATTCGACGGACAGCTATCTACATCTTATGAATTCTCTGTCATCATCACTTCGCGAGGTTTCAACTTCTTTCTTTATCCCTCTTCTTTTTTTCTTCAATAAAAAACATCTAATTAGTACATTAGATGGGTACTGATTCCGCTGTATTCCTCACTATCCTTGATTTAAACTTTGAGTTGTATCTCCTCCTTAGGTGGATCCAGAATTTAGTTTAACAGATTTGTAATGATTCATATGTACATATAATGCTTATTTAAGTGGATGAAAATTTGAGTTTGATTGCGAGTGGATGACATTATAATTCGTGCAACTAACGTCTATCGATCCAAGAAGTTATTTTAGTATTGACTTTGAATTTGGCTTACATGGCAGGGATGGCTGGAGCTGGCGAGTGCTAGGCATTCCATGGGCGCTTCACGTATCAGTAGTGCATTGTTTGATCTCAAATCTCATTCTGCTGCCACTACATTGCAATTAAACCATCAGGATGGTAAATGCATACATACTCTTTACAGCATTTCAGCCTTTCGGTTGATTACATCAACATACCCAGTGTAATCCTACGGTGGGTTTGGGGAGGGTAGTGTGCCTTTTGTTTGACGACACACAATATTGCGTATGATTCATGGATTTCCTTTTTCTTGTTAGAAAATGCTTAATCTGTAGAACTCGTGGGAGTTCTAATGCGGTTATGTAGCTTTCCATTACCCAAATTGTAATGATGGAGTTTTCTATCTAGGGGATCATTTATAAGACCATGCCTGATTTATCTTTTTCCTCATTTACATGTGTACGAATCAGCGTTTCTTCCGTTCTCCATGTAATTGATTATATGAATATAATGGGCTCATGGACCTGTATTTAATTATATTTTTTATCCTAGATTTTCTTTATAACACTGGCTGTGATGTATACTGATTTTGTTATGCAGCTGGGCCTAAATCGGAGGAATCGCATTTCAGCTTGTGTAAGTGGGCATCATCTGAGAGTCCAAAGAGCTGTTCTGAGGAGGATACGCTATTACAGAAGAAATCCAATAGCCCAAAAGTTCTGAATCAGGATGGTTCGTCAAATTCTGGTACAGATGCATGCTCCTGGCTCTTTTAACATTTATGCTGTTTCTTAAAAAGCAGTTTTATGAAGAATAAGATACTAGGCTGCTAATATAAAGTAAAACACCTACTTGCTTCAAACATGATAATAGACTGAATTTTCAGCTACTGCATGACAACATCTCTAACCTTTTTCCTTCAGCACTTGATGTTAGTTAGTTCCATGTAAGTCCAGCTTAAGGAATGCTTCTTCTACACTTAAAGCAAAAAATAGTATAAGATATATATTCAAATAAGTAAATAAAGGATGCATCATAAAATCCTTTATCTGAATTGAGCTTCTTTGATAAATAATTTTTTTTCTATTACTTGCAAAGAAGTTCAGGAAGAAGCGTCAGAAGCACCGGAAGCTATCGAATCACCACGCACGGTGGAGGATCAAGTAAGTGACTCACCAATTTATATTCTCACAACAACTTCCTATTAAGTAGTGTTTTCCAGGTGGTATGATCTTGTAAAGCGATGCTCGCCTCTGGCACCTGTACATGCATTATTCAATTTATCTCCCCAGCCATGCAGTACTTCCCCTTACAGAGAGAGAGAGAGAGAATGCATGAAGAGTTACGAAACAACCTTTGAGTACATAGATTATGCGGCAGTGACAACATATATAAATGCTTCATGCACAGTAAATTCATTTATCATTTGATTATTCCATTAAGAATCATTGAATCACCCTTATACTTTAGCTTTGCTACCAAATTTTTATTTATGATGTGATTTAGAAGTGAACATAGGTCAAGGTTAACCAAAAGGTTTACAACTTTAATCTTGTTTTCAGCTGATTTATCTCCTCAATTATACGATCCCTGCTCTTCATCCACGTTTTCCTGGCAATTTTTTTCCGTGAATTGATAAACTGAAGCGAGAAATAATCTGTCTTGGCTTCTTCTTCCTTTACACCTTTAATTGACATTGTCTCAACAGACTATTTCTCTTCTACATGGCATGTTATCTATCATCGTTTCAAAGCATCCTTCACCAACCTTAATGAAAAAGTCCATCAAATTCCCCCCCCCCCCTTAATTTTTTTTATCTCCGAGCTACTTGCCGAAAATAGGATAGGTGGAGTGCAGATCTGCAATATTTGAAATTTACCTTTCTCAGCCTTTTGGCTAATAGGAAGTGTTAATAAATCTGCAAAAGTTTGAATTTTCAGAGTTCACCTTGGATATATAATTTCATTATTCTTTGGTAATACCTTTAATATCTAACAATTACATAATCTTTAATGTTCAGGACTCATATCAATCTCACTGTTTTCTTTTTTTAATTAACACCTATCTTACTATAATCTTTTCTTGACTACCTCTTACTATATCTTACTATATTTAAATTGAGAAATATTGTGTACATTAAATTTAGTGGTACTGTATTTTGTTTTCTAGGCTCGAAAAGAGCGACTCAAGTCATTATCCATGTTTGGAGTGCTGGTCTGTCCAAAGCTTCGAGCTGCCCAATCGTCATTTGAGACAGGTAAATTACTTTCATCCCTCCAGCAACCATCAGAAATATTTTTTCACATTGGTATACTGGAGATAAAAGTGGCTTTAAGTAACAAAAGATCCCTGGTGAAATTGAACTTTTGAGGACTAAAAATGCCAAAATTATGCCGTAGTACGACGAGTGGGCATCGATTTTATGTATCTATTTTTACAATCTTCTGTGCCTCATATGATGGAATTAGTGGCTTTATATTTTGCAGCTCTTGAAACTCTAGTAGAAGTAGCAAATAAACGGG